GATCGTGGTGGTTGTGATATGAAATGGGATGTTCCCTCTTTTCCTAACAGTCCGAAATAGGGATTATAGCAGGGGGCACTATACTCCCTATGAAGGACTGTTAGTATAAGGCACATCCCAAGATACGAATGTGACTTCTGAGGTTCTGCCGACTGACGCTGAAATGCCCGGGAGCAGCATCCGTAAGCTCCTTTTGTACATACTTGGCCTTCACGCCGCTCCGATGTCCTGTACCATGAACATGATGGTTGGGAAGAAGCTGACATACCTAACTTGGAATGTTCCCCCTTATACGAACAGTCCTTAATGGGGATTATAGTTCCTCCCTTTTTTGTCCCTACTAAGGACTGTTAGCATAAGGGGGAACATCCCGAGACCTGACGTATACCCCAGGCAAGAAGGTTGTGCACAACACACCTGTCCCGAAAACGCCCTCTGCACATGCCGCTCTCTCAAGGGGTAAGAGGTCGCTGTCCGCACAGGTTTAGGGTTTAGGGTGCTACTGGACAAACGATACTCCACTCTTCATCCAAGACAAGGCGGTGCTGCCTAGTACCATGTATGCTCAGGGGCCAGCAGCCTGCCAGCACACAATCTCCACATGCGATGCGCTGCGCACCCGTGCGCAGCTGATCTTCAAGCAGGTCCTCAAATAGATCCTGGAGGCGGGACCTGCCAGTACTACTCGGAAGTTATGAATCTCCAAATGTGACGTGCTAGGCTAGCAGAGGACTTAGCCATTCCGTCAAGTACCCTTAAGCCATTAAACCCCAAAACCCTCAACCAAGAAAAACCCTAAACCCTTCGCAGCCTAAACCCTAAACCCTAAACCCCCAAAAGTCGTGGCCAAAAAAATCCCCTAAACGACAGGATCCTCAGAGCGTGTCCATCGACTTCGGCGCGAAGCCAAGCGGAGATTCTGCCAACTTCTTACATGCACGACCACATTCGGCTACGTTCTGTGTATATGTACTTTCAAACTGGTTTTTTCCAGTTCATGTTCTTCATTGCTTTTTACATTGTTATGGGTTTGTGATTGTGTTTTTTTGGTATTGTGCGGCCATGTTGAGTTGAGTTTGGCCTCCCCGCAAAACTCTTGTGGCTCGTGCTTCTCTCCGAGCTCTACCGAACTGCTGAATGACATTTTGGAGCAGATAGGTTGCGCATTAAACTTGATGGAAGAGGTGTGGGAAGTCTTGCTGTAGTCATGAGAACTGCCATCGCTGCCTTCTTTTCCCTGGCTACGGCTGCTGTGGTTGCAGCTTATGGGCCAGAGGCATTGCAGGACCGTGAGCATGTCTAGCATGATGCACACCACCTTTTGAGGGGCTATATAAATTTAAAAAACAAATTACATATATATATATAAGTATACATATATATGTTTTTTATTTATTTGATTTATTTATGTATGTATGTATGTATGCATGTATATATGTAGACACATGTGTATTTCTACAAGTAACTAGCTTTTCATGAAATGTAGCATACATATGTAAATTTGCATCTATTCTTTCTGACTATAGCAAGCCGTTTAGTTTGGAGAGCGGCTGATCCTTCCGTCAGTTCAGAGTGTACTGATAGCTCAGACCAATCAGCCTGGTTGCTGCAAAGGGCAGGATATGTCGCTAAACGGAGTGGAACACACTGACTCCATTCTTGAGTCGGAGCTGTGGATTCACGATGTCGCGATGTCTCAAGAAGGGCTCGATAGATTTAGTGGGTCCACTTCTCAGGGGTAAGCTTGGAGAGTCCAGGATGAGATCACAAACCTCCCTGGCGCGCCGGCAGTGAAGTTTCGCATGTTCTCCGGGTACATCAACGTCGGTGCAGGCTCGTCGCACATCGTGTGGTCACTAGACACATGCAGAGTGCGCGCCATCCCCGTCAAGCTTATGGGCACATGTGGTCAGTTCTCTAAATTATTGCGCCTTTTTGGCCACCCTAAATCCTAAATAACAGAGGCCGCCTGATAATAAGGACCCCAAACAAACCATAGTCTAGAGAAGTGACCATGCTGGGCAGGTCAGATGTTCTACTGGTTTGTGGAGTCACAGCAAGATCCAGCACATGCACCGCTGATTCTTTGGACCAATGGCGGGCCTGGCTGCAGTGGGTTGGCTGGCTTCCTTACGGAGCAAGGGCCTTTTCGGGTCCGACCAGATGGGGAAACATTGACCTTGAACCGCTACGCCTGGAACAAGGTGGGGTACAACAAAAAAAAAAACCTGTCTATTGTAGTTTGGTAGGGAGTGCCCACGAGAAGAGGTTGGCCGTTTAGCTTGTACAACGATAATCAAAATTGTGTGGTAGCGCGTGGCGCTCAGGGCCGCTCCAGGGCTGGAGTGGGGCACAGATAACGATAGGAATTGCCCAAGAACAAGGCACTGTAAAACGATAAGGAGCAGAAGAAGACGATGACAATTTCACAACAACCAGCAATTTCAAACGTTGCGTTTTACACAGCCCAGATTGCGAACATGGTCTTCATTGAGCAGCCTGTGGGCGTCGGTTTCTCAAAGGCAAATGACGGAACTCAGTACGGGGACCAGCAATCAGCGGAAGCCAACTTCAAATTTGTGCTTGGCTTCTTCGAGCGGTATCCGGAGTACAAGACCAACGACTTCTACATCTCCTCGGAGTCTTATGGCGGGCATTACATGCCTACGCTGGGCAAGCTGCTTGCTGACCGAGGCAGGCTAGAAATTCTTGACTTGATCCCACGCTTAGCTACTTAGCCAGCCGTAGCCTCAACTCGAAACCTACAGACTCAGAACAGCATCACAAGTCTACACGCAACGGCCATCAGCCCCTCATGAATGTAAACGTGTGGCAAGTTCCCCCTTTCCCACCAGATGATGTTCCCACCTTCCGTGGGATTTTCCTGGGCAACCCGCTGACGTACATGAAATACAGAGACTATGGACAGTACGGAACGGCCTGGGGTCATCAACTGCTGCCGGCTCCCTTGTGGCGGCAGTATGAGGCAGCAAGCTGCGCAAGCACCTTCCCAGCCTCTTGGTAGGTTAGGGGTACCCTTTTCCCTTTTTTTGTCTCTGGCTTCCCTTATAAAGTAACCAACCCCAAAAAAGGGTGCCCTTGTTATAATATGGTTACTGTGCTACTAAGGCTTCGGAGGAGTGCAAGAAGGTGACTGCTGAGATGGACAAAATCCTATCGGGCTTTGATGTTTATGCCCTGGACTTTCCAAAATGCGGCCGGGACGTAAGGGGGGGTGTTCTTGAATTTTTGTTGGCTCCTTGTTGCCGGCGGGATAAGTTTGCTTCCACCAAGCTTCTCATGTCCCACATGAAAAACCCAAACAATCCAGGCGACAGAGCAGCCGCAGCCGGCCAGCAAGAACGTCTGCAGTTGATGCGGCAAGTGAATCTTGCAAAAGGCGATGTTCCGCCTCCCTACCAGTGCCCAGGCTTTTATTGGCGCAGTCGCAAGCGATTGGTTCGCCCTTAACCCCCTGCAACAAATCAACCGCTCAACTCGAACGACCTCTTGCATGATTATGAGGTCTGCAGAATTCAGAAGACGCATGATCGCCACCGTGCCATGCGGGATAGTGGGTTAAAACGTGTCAACTGAAGCTTTGCAAGCAAACAAGGCCCTGCGCCAGTGACCATGGGGAGAAGTACCTGAACTTGCCTGAAGTACAGACAGCTATCCATGCCCAGCACACTCATTGGGCAGATTGTGCGAATTCCGTGGGCAGCGCCTACAACTCCACAGATCTCAATCAGCCAATGATGCCATACTGGCAGCACCTGATCCAGACCCTTGGGTGCATGGATTTCTGGGCTACAACCTGTGCACGTTCACCGGACAACTTTCACAACAAAGGTCCTTCATGGCTCAAAATGGGGCCTTCCGAAAATCGGGGGGTACCCTTTTTTGGGGGGTCCCTTTTAAGGGGATTCTATTCTATGTGGGGTATAAAAAGGGGTATCCCTATTTTGGGAAATACCCCAAAGAGTTACGTCTTGAGGCGCCTCCAGAACTGAGGAAGGGCATAGGGTTTAGGGTTTAGGGCTTAGGGCTTAGGGCTTAGGGCTTAGGGTTCTGAGGAAGGGCAATCTCAATCTCATGATCTACTCTGGCGACGATGACGCTGTCTGCGCCACCCTAGGGTCCCAGCAATTCGTGTGGGATTTGGGCGGCTTGGCTACCCTAAACCCTAAACCATTTAGGGTCGAGGGCTTTTGTACACTTCTTCGCAGGGCTGCTAGGGCTACTGGGACCTAAACCCTAAACTCTTGCTGCGCATGTCTCGCTTGCCAAGGATATGAGCCCGTTGAAGGGAAGTCCTGGGTTCCCTGGACAGCCGCTTGGTTTAGGGTTTTAGTGTTTTAGGGTTTTAGGGTTTCAGGGTTTCAGGGTTTAGGGTTTAGGGTTTAGGGCTTGGGGCGGATCAAGGGTGCAAGCGACTGCCCCTACAATCATAGCACGGGATGGTGTGAGGTTCATCCCTTTGGGGGCCCCGGGCCCCGGCGCCTTAATAATTAGAATCGGATTTTGGGGGTCATTATAGTATAATTATGCCATGCAGGGGCCATAGGGGAAAACTATTACTAACTCTTCCGACCCCTTTTGTTGCGAGGTCCTGGGCCAAACGGCCGGATTCCGAACAGATTTTGCCGTCCCCGCCGCAGCGGGGGCCAAGGCCTCCTTCGCCTTTGTGACCGTCCACGGCGTGGCTGGGTTTGCGAATTCAGAAGGTCTAGGGTTTAGGGTTTAGGGTTTAGGGTTTAGGGTTTAGGGTCTAGGGTCTAGGGTTTAGGGTTTAGGGCTTAGGGCTTAGGGTTTGCGATTCAGAAGGGTCTCGAGTCGTCATTCTAACGACGGTCAAGTCATGATAACAACGCGGTAGCAAGTTATTAGTGCGAAGTCATCACAATTACAGAATCAAATAATACTCTACTAGAAAAATTGAAATACTCGAAACATGGAGTGTAATATACTCATCACATCAGAACGCCAATTATGCAGTTACTTGTTACACAACAACCCTGCTATCCTTAGGCTGGGCACATGGTGCCTGCCACGCAGCCGGCAAGGCGCCCCTGGTAGGGTTTAGGGTTTAGGGTTTAGGGTTTGGGGTTTGGGGCTTGGGGCTTGGGGCTTGGGGTTTAGGGTTTAGGGTTTACCCGTCCGACTTTTTGGTCGACATGCTAAGGATTCTTCTGGCTGTTTCCCAAAAAAAGGGGGGGGTATTATACCCCAAATAGAGTAGAAGCCACTTAAGGCGACCCCTATTTTCGGAACCCCCTGATTGCTGCTATGATAAGGATTAAGGTTTCGGGCTGAAGAGGATGGATGTAAACGAATGATGACCCGTATCATCATTACGATGAATAAGATGAAAAAAACCATGAACCCATGAGGGACCCGCATCATTTCTTCACAAGCACATGACCTCGAAGCCTAGAAGCCCTCCTGAACTTTCAGTAGGAGGCTCTCATGGCTTCAGGTGAAGAAGTTCCGGGTTCCAACCCTGTCTTCCACCAGTACTTGTGTTAAAAACTCCCGGGGATGATGTTGAGACCTTCATCTTGCGTGCCAGTGCGAGTTGGGGTCGTCACTGGCAGGTCCTTGTCGCTGTTGAAGAAGTTCCTGGGCCTGGACATCGAAGAAGCCACGCTTCTGGCCAAGTGATCTTTTGGATCTTAAAGCGCAAAGGCGCAACCCCTGAAGCAAAACGGTTGCATGGGTTGGGTGCAGTGCGGAAGTTTGCAGCATGTTCCTCTTTGGATACGCCCTTGCTCGCTTACATTGCTTGTTTGGTCGGTCTTCCACTCCTTCGCTGCCGCGATCCCTCCCCACTATCTTCTCCCTGGTCACCTCCCTCCCTCGCTGCCTCCCCAAGGCACATCGTCTCCGCTGTAGGGGTGTGGCTCGTTTAAGATAGCAGCAAGGGTTGGACAGAGAGGTTGTAGACTCATGGACCATTGCTTCAAGTCTTGAGTTGCCCAACCCTTGCCAATTCATTGTCAAGATCAAGAGCAGAGTGGTTAGGAGCTCACCGTAGGCGCAAGTAAAAGTAGCAGTCGAAGCCCACTTTAAGCCCCAACTACAAGACTCGAGTCCTTGGACGGCCCATGGTGTGCAGCGCCAGCGTCTCCACCACTGCCCATCATGGCCATACGCGAGATCTGCGACCCGGCTGAACACACCCCATGCTGTCATGCTTAGGGTTTAGGGTTTAGGGTTTAGGGTTTAGGGTTTAGGGTTCACTATCACAGCTCACAAAGCAAGAGGCATGGGCCGCTTGAATCAGCCGCTCGCACAGGCAAAAAGCTGCCCGGAATCAGCCAAGCTGTGGACTGCAAGCGCCGGTGGCCGGGGGAGGGGGGGGCCGAGGGGAGTGGTTGACAGACATCCGGAAGTTTGGAGCTCGGAAGTTTTTGTTTGTTTCGGGTGGGTGTTACGTGGTTCCGTGCTGCTGCGAGCAGTCGGCTGGCAGTTGGGTCGGATTCCTCCGCAGGCGGCACCATCCTGCACATCGCAGAAATCGAGACCGAGTCTGTCTGCTAAAGCAGGCTCCATGGCAGCCAGTGGATTGCCGTAAGCCGTGGGCCTCATGTCGGAGCTGGCCCCTGAACCACTGTAGCTGTGGCATGAAGCAACCACCTATCAAAGTGCCTACCTAAGCTACGGGGAATTCTCCAAATTAGGTTCCCTTTTTAGGCCCCTATATAGTACAACACCTTGCGGCACCTTACAAAAAGGATCGCCACAAAAAGGGAACTCTGATTTACAGAACGACACACATGTGCATGTCTCTCTGCATGGTCCAACACCGCTGTGAAGTTCAGCTAGGTGGCTGACGAATGGACATTTTAAGTTTTCATACAGACGCCGACCTGCAACACTCACCCCCGATCTCATCCCACGCTAGAGTTGACCATGTGAAGCGACACGAGATGGCGAAAGAGTGCAATAAGCACTCGAGCCCCATTGTGATTTTTTGGGCACTGTGAAAGATGAGCGGCATACGTGGCTCAGGCGGGGCTGTTGCTGCCACAGCTGCCTTGACGGCGGTTGGAAGGGCGTGGCGCTGGAGGCTGCAAGGTTGTAGGATGCGGAACTAAACCCTAAACCCTAAATTAGCCTAAACCCTAAACCTAAACCCTAAATTAGCCTAAATCCTGAACCCTAAAGGGTTGGCTGTCTGAGCAGAATCCACCGTGGAAGTTTATAACCCTCTGGTTTGTTGCGGTCAGGGCTGGCTGCATGAGCTTCACGCTTTGTAATGTCGGCAGCGCTGTCCCTAGACAACATGCCTGGAGAAAGAGGGCGTATCAGATGATTATACTCTGATGTTCGTATATAGATATCCTATTATATTCTTATCATGTTTTTCTATTATTATGTTATGATTCTACCAATCCATATCTTTTATTTCTTTATCTTTATCTATTTGTCATATGATTCCACGACATGAATTCTGAGGTCATCATGTGACTCTATGATTTAACGCACATGTTCTCGGGTCACGTGCGCCAGGCCTCACGCCAGGAGGCAAAGACACCGAGGCCGCCGCAGCTCTGGGATGCAGCGCCGAGGCCCGGACCCAGCAAGTGTTTAGGGTTTAGGGTTTAGGGTTTGGGGTTTAGGGTTTAGGGTTTAGGGTTTAGGGTTTAGGGCTCTTGCTGGGTTTAAAGGGTTTAGCTTGGGATGTTCCCCCTTATGACGAGCAGTCCTTAGGGATTACAATAGGGGGGTACTAGAATCCCTTATGTAGGATTGTTCGTGCAAGGGGGAACATCCCAAGGTTTATGGTTTAAAGGGCATAAGGTTTAAAGGGTTTAGGGTTTAGGGTTTAGGAGAGAGAGAAAGGGTTTAGGGACTAAGAGTAATTGGAGTCCTAACCCCGGAGACTCACCTTGACTCACGAACGATTGCGCACGCCTGCCCTCAAAGCCCTGGAGAACTCTCAGAAGATGCCAGAACTGACAGACGTGCAACACATACAATGAAATTTTAGGAACACGCGCAAAACAGAATTTCGGAACATAGATGCGCAGCCAGGTTGCAGCTTGGCATCTTCATCCTCTTTGTTCAGCTTCCTGCCCAGCCCTTCCTCGGAGCAGCAAGACTTCACGGACCTGCCCCTGGTAACCATTGAGCCCTCCGAGTCCGAGCCCCCCACTTCGAGCTTCTTGTTGTTGGTTAGTAGGGAATGGGGGAATAGATACCATGCATCCCACTATATATATATATATATACCCTTTAAGGGATCATTCTACATGGTAATTACCTTCTTCCCCTATTCCCTACTAGCCAACAGTAAGGCTTCCAGTTTGGGGAGTGGCTGCTCAGCGCTGAGCTCCTGGCCGTGTTCCAGGAGGCCGACCGAGAGGCCCGGCAACTGGGGCAGATGTGCATCGGCGAGGAGGCTGCAGTGCTGGGAATCTTGGCCAACCGCCCCTTTGCCGAAGATCTTTGTGGCCAGCGGAAGCTGGGGGGTATGGTGAAAGCCCTTGCAAAGATGGCCCTGACACGTGCGGACCAGCTGCCAGACATCTTCTCGCGCTTGCCGTGCCTGGGCTCCGGGTCACTGATGTTCACGATGAGCCGTGGATTACAAGAAGCCCTGGCTGAGGCGCGGTGCTGGAACTCGCATGCTGCCTGCAAAGCTTCCCCTTTCTAGCCCCGAACCCTCCTTAACAGAAGCCCCAAATAAGTTCTCTGAGACATTGCAGAGGCCTCACGCTGGCAGAAGCTCTTGCAGCACACGGGTGCTTTGAAGATCGAGCACCTTACTGTTGGTTAGAAGGGAATGGTGGAGTGAGGTACCCTATATTTGATGCCTTAAAGGGTACCCTATAATGCCTATATACACCACCTTAAGGCATTATATAGGCCTTATAGATACCCCGTAAACCCTAACTAAGCCCTCAGCCCTAAGCCCTAAGCCCTAAGCCCTAAGCCCTAAACCCTAAACCCTAAACCAACCTTAAGGCACTTGGCCTTGGCTCTGGTGAGCCGGCATTCATTGGATGGATCGCGGACCGACTATCGAGCCCCCTTGGCCTTCTTGGGGGGGTTTAGGCCTTTTAGGCTTTAGGGGTTTAGGGGTTTGGGGGTTTGGGGGGTTTAGGGGTTTCGGGGTTTGGGGGTTCAGGGGTTTAGGGTTTAGCGGTTTTTTAGGCTTTGGGGCTCAGGGGGCGTTCGCGGTTTGTTTAGGGCAAGGCAACTGCAGTAATGTTCCTCACGAATCACGCTGGGGCCGTCAGTATGATGCCAAGAAGGAGCATATTTTTTCCTGAGGTTTTTGTTCGTGGCAAGCGTCCATGCCCAGCACGGTTCTTCAGGTTCCAAGTAGCAAGCTGGCAGCTTTGCCTGAACTGCCAGGTTCTACCCGATCTCCTGGTGTCTTTTGGCGTGCACGCTGCCGACGCTTGTCAAAATGCAATGTAGAGATCATTTGCCATTCGTGTCCTGGGGAGTGTGTTTTTCATGGCAGCTGGGTAACTTGGCAATTGCAGAGCCGTTAGCTGCAGCGAGATGACTTGGCTTGCAGACGTGATCGTAGGATGCAAAATGTGCGCTGCTCGAACGGCTGCCGGGTGCGGTTGCAAAACACCTTGCTGGTGCCACGAAGCCTGCCAACCAAGCACTTCGCGCATGCCCAGGTGGATGTTCAGCAAAAGGCCTCCCAACACACCCTGAATTGGTTCGGGTTTAGGACTGAGGGCTCAGGGTTTAGGGTAGGACCTTGGTCTTGGACCTGTTGTTCTTGTGTGCCCCTATGCCCCCCAGGTGTGAACTCGACCCTCACCCTCAAGTCTGCACAGAAGTGGCCGGAGCTCTTAGCGAGTTCGCTGGAAAGACTGACTGCTGGCTTCAAAGAGCGCACGGTGGAAGGCAAGCTTCTCTTACTGGCAGCTATCGCAGGCCTGGTTGTCGGTATGTCAGGCTGCTGAAAATGAGGGCCCCTGCTGGGGAATGGAACCGATAGTCGCCACCCCCCACTTTTCACAAGCCTCCCGCCCCCCCCCCCCCCACCCCAATTACTTTCTTTCATGTTAGCTTCGGGCTCGCGCAGTTCACGATGTTTTTTTCACATGCCAAGGTCGAAGCTTAGTTGTTCCTTCCCATTTTGTCGTCCCTCCACGGTGGCTGCCTCGCAACAGTGGAAGACTGATGTCCCCTTGTAGTTTCGAGACTGCTGGGCGGTGGCAAAAACCCTCCCTCAACCCTAAACCCTAACCCCGAAGTGCAGGTGAACATGTCTTGCTTCTGGGCCCTCCTGGTACCGGCAAGAGCAAGCTGGCGAGACGCCTGGCGTCCGTTTGTGATGGGCAGTACTTCGAGCGCCTCCTGACGCGCTTCACGACCCCGGAGGAAGTCTGGGGGCCGCTATCGCTTCAAGCCCTCCAAAGCCAGGACAAGCTGCTGCGGCAAACCAGTGGGTATCTTCCAGATGCAGAAGTAGCCTTCTTGGATGAAGTTTTCAAGGCAAGTCCAGGCGTGCTGAATTCACTCATGTCCATCTTGAACGAGCGGGTCTTCGACAATGGAAGCGATCGTCATGAAATTCCCCTGTGGTGCATGATCGGTGCATCGAACGAGCTGCCTGAGAATGATGTGCTGGACGCCCTGTATGACCGTTTCCTCTTGAGGAAGACGGTGGGACATGTCTCAGATGGCCGGTACCATGATTTTCTGCTTGGGGAGTTGACCACTCCAGGCTCTGGCACGGTCCGCCCTTCTCAGGCCCATCAAGGCAAGATACTCGACTGCCAGCTCTGTCAGCAAGCTTGCAGACAGGCAGCGCAGCAAGTCAAGGCGCCACGACTCAAACCGTTTGCTTTCAGCGTACACTTGTTAAAGAGAAGAATAAAAATAGTAGTAGTAATTATGGTTATATAGTAATAATAGTAATAATGAACGATTCCCTTGTAGGCGCACATCCTTTCAAGGTGCCTCAGCGAGTGTTGAATCTGGTGGCGGCCCTGCGAAAGCACCTCCGCCAAGCAGCACCTCCCATTGTCCTATCTGATCGTCGGCTGGCGAAGGCCACGCGCTTGCTTCAGGTCGCCACTTTCACCTGTGGAGGAGCTGAAGTTTCAGAGGTCGACCTTCTCCTGCTTCAGCACGTTTTCTGGGACAGAGACCCTGAGCAGGGGGAGCAGGTCCGACACTGGCTGTTGAGGAACTACAGCGCGCACGGTGAGGAGGAGGCCCTCACCGTCGCTCAGAAGTCTCTGAATCGAGCCCGGGAGAAGGTGGCCGGAGCTGAGAAGTTTCCTGGGGTGAGGCGCGCGACGTCAGTCACAGCACCAGCTGTTCCCGTCGACTAGGGTTAATGTTCATTAGAACTACATATCTAGATAAATAAATAAATCTATATATATATATATAGATAAATGCATAAAGACATATATACATATATTCAATATTTGCATAATGTAACATGTGCGTATATGGATAGATAGATTGTCCCCCTTTTCACTGCTTTGCGGTATGCAATATGTGCAGGTGTAGGCATGGGCGCGCCTGAACTCAATCGGCATGTGTTGTGACAGCATGACTACCTCTGACTTACATAATGGGCTGCAGTCATCGTGTTTGCATCATCGGTGCAGTCTACACGACCACATTCAGTGCTAGCATGTGCTAGCTTTCCGCACAAGCATTGCCCTTTGTCAGGATGCAGTTGAAGAGCACCATTGCTACCAGAATGCCTTTCAGTCGGTGGTGTTATTTTTCAGTCCACCAATGCCTATCGAAGCAATGTGTGTGTGAGTGCTCAAAACTAAAACCCTATGGAGATAGGACAGGAGGGGGTTTTGGAAGAGATGCAGCCAAACCCTAAACCCCTAAACCCCTAAACCCCTAAACCCCTAAACCCCAAACCCCAAACCCTAAACCCTAAACCCTAAACCCTAAACCCTAAACCCCAAACCCCAAACCCCAAACCCCAAACCCTAAACCGCGCCGAGCCCGGCAAAGGCTGTGCTGCAACGCTTCGTGGAGGGCAAGTTGCAGACTTGGCGTCGGGCCGAGGCCTGCGGACAAGTTCTTGCGGGTTTAGGGTTTAGGGTTTAGGGTTTAGGGTTTGGGGTTTGGGGTTTGGGGTTTAGGGTTTGTTTAGGGTTTCGGGTTAGGGTTTAGGGTTTCGTGTTTAGGGTTTAAGGTTTGTTTAGGGTTTAGGGTTTAGGGTTTAGGGTTTAAGGTTTGCTTAGGGTTTAGGGTTTAGGGTTTGTTTAGGGTTTAGGGTGTCGCCTGTGCAAAGGGTTTTAAGTTTCGGGTTTAGGGTTTAGAGTTATGGGGGTTATGGGGGTTTACGAGAAAGGGGGGCCCGTAAAGGACTTTCCTTTAATAATAAGGACAAGGTGCCACGAATTTTGGAAACCCCCCCCCCCCCCCCCAAATGCGCGACAAGACGGTATGATGCTGACCTCATTTTGGAGTGGGGGGGGGGGGGGGGGGGTGAGGAGGGGGGGGAGGGGGGGAATCCAACCCAATTTTCAAGGCGGTCTGAGTCCATAGGCCTCCTTTAGGACTGAAGTGTTCTTCACTTCCCGGGCTGCAAATCCGCGTCCTTGAGGCCTCAGACGTGCATGCCTTGCTGAACTGAACCCAGGTCATCAAGCTAAAAAAGCCTTTAAAAAGCCTAAGACTGGAAAAGGAGGAAGCAAAAGGAAGTAAGGTCTCTGACTTGCAGCGGGTGGCTCTGCAAAGCGAGTGCAACATTAAAAGAGATCCTCGAAATCTCTGCCTGCTCACGCAGCACAAGGGCTTGTTGATGGCATCTGCTTGGATCCCTAAACCCTAAACCGGAGGCATCTGTGAAACATCGGCTGGGCATCATTGGCGCTGGTGCGGGCCGAGAGGCAGATGGACATCCTGCCTTCGTCCCAAAGACAGACTAAACCTTGGGATGTTCCCGTTTACGAACAGTCCTTGATTGGGATTACAATAGGGGGTACTATCATCCCTATTAAGGACTAGTAGTATAAGCGGGAACATCCCAAGTCGAGCAACATTTCAACGTGAGGGTATATTAAGCTGCTCCAGGCCAGCTTCAGCTGGCTGGAAGACCGAGATGTGCGAGATATGGCTGCTGTGGTGCTCCCAGAGGCCTTCTGCACCTCGGGTAGGGGATGTAGTTGACCTCAGCATGAAGCAGGCATGCCTGTGTAGCAGGTGCAGACAGATGCAGCACAGACAGCTAGCAGCGAATTTCCAAATGCTAAACCACTGCTAAACCCATAGGCCCCAGGACCTGAAGGCTATGGCTCAAGCCCCACAGTCAGACGGGTATAGCGCATTGCTACCACAGGTTAATATGGCTCCGAGGTAGACTCTGCAATGAGAGTGGAATGACCACGACAGAATGTGCATGTGTTGACTCTAGCTTGTGTCTGTCAGCACTGAGTCACAGCAACATGGGTTTACGATTTAGGGTATAGGGTTTAGGGTAGAATAAGTTGAACCACCCTCACTTTGCCCCTGCATGGCGCTTCAAGCTTCTCCTATCGTCCTGCCTGGACGGGTTACTGGCAGAGGGTACGGATGGGTGGCAGCTGGGAGCACCAATAGCAAGCATCGAGTTGGCCAGAGCCATCTCAGCGCATTCCATGACGCCCAACAGCACTTCTTGCACTCGAAGGGCAAGTGGCCCACATGGCCAGCGGCACTGCTTGGCACGAGCCTGGCACTTTCTTACTCCAGACGCAGGTGCTTACCATCTGGTGAGCGCAAGCCCTTTCGCACATGCCTGGCTGCTGCACAGTACGGGGATGAGTTCGTAGGTGAAGCAGTGGACACCGAATTGGCAGATTCTCTACGGCAGAGAACGCTTGAGTCTCTGGACTTGGACTATGTCCTCCAAAAGCTGCAGGCATTATGTTACACCAGCATGGCTGCAGAGATGGCTGTGGACCCTGAGGAACTGATGGCCAACTCGGCCGAAGCCTAGTTGTAGAGTAGGTAACCTTTAACCTTTTTGGGGTCATATCATCCCCTTATATTCCCAAAGGTGAACTTTGAGTCGTCCCCCTAAATAATACTGGACAACTAAGGAAGAAGCACGAGCCTTGTATGCCACCGTACTTGAGCTGACTCAGCTGGAGGATGCTGACTTAGACTTGGAAGAGAAGCTCGACATCCTTGAAGAGGTGGAGCAGTGCTCCCGTGGAGCGGTCCTTGAGAACCCCTCTCTCTGCAACTTAGTAGTAGACTAGGTAACCTTTAAGCTTTTTGGGGTAGTAGTAATCCCCTTTCAATCCCTAAACCCTAAACCCTAAACCCTTTATCATCCCAAAGGTTAACCTTTAGCTCCCCTAGGTAGACGACTAAGGCAAAGTCTCCAGATCCATCGAAGCACTACTCCGACTTCGGAATGGCTTGGAGGCTTTAAAGTTTAGGGTTTCGGGTTTAGGGCTTTAGGGGTTTAGGGGTTTAGGGGTTAGGGTTTAGGGTTTAGGGTTTAGGGTTTAGGGTTTAGGGTTTAGGGTTTAGGGGTTTAGGGTTTAGGGTTTAGGGTTTTGGAGGCTGCCAGCGTACGCGGTGTTCACATCCCATCTCTGATGGCCCTTTGCCAGGAGATGCTTGGCAGCCCAGTGGTACCCCTTACCCCTTTTGATGGGTTTAGGGTTTAGGGTTTAGGGTTTAGGGTTTAGGGTTTAGGGTTTAGGGTTTAGGGTACCCTCATTAGAATATGGTTACTTGTGCTACCAAGGATTGAGTTGCCCGACAAGTTGCTGGATGCCATCTTGGAGGCTTTCGACGAGGATGGGGAGCTCTCCGTGAAGAAGTTTCCGGAGTTGGCGGAGCTCCGCCTAAGGGTTAAGAATCTGGAAGATTCCTGCGCGCGGATCATGTCCGAAGTGACCACGAGTGGCAAGTACTCGGCTTACCTGTCGAATGACGGCTACATGCAGTTCGGGGGGTACTATGTCCTGCTGGTAAAGCCGCGTTATGCCGACAAGGTGGGCCGAATCTTTGACGAAACGCGAAGTGGAAACACTGTTTACGTGGAGCCGCATGAAGTCGTCGCAACCACAGATGAGCTCAATGAGTCACAGAAGGAGTTGCTTACTGCTGGTTAGTAGGGAATGAGGTACCCTACATCCCCCTGTAATATACCCTTTATGGGATCATGTAGAGTACCTCATTCCCGCATTCCCTACTAGCCAACACTAAGGTTGAAGCTGCTGGTGCGTCGCATTCTTGCTACGATGTCCTTGGCGCTGTCCCATGCTGCTGACGACATTCGGCGGTGCTTGAGGGCTGCCGCTAACATCGACCCTTTGTCATAGTTGGGTAATTTTTTCATTTTCAAGGGTACTTAAACCCAATAAAATAAGGACTATATAAACAATTAAAGTTTTCATACTCTCCCAACCATGAATCAGGACTTGGCACGGGCGCGATTATTCCTCGGGGAGGATATGGAGGGTGAGGTGCCCAAGGTAGGAGATGACGGGATCATCGAGGTGAGGCAGGCGCGAAATCCCTGCCTCATACTGCGCGGCGGCAAGCGAGTTGTTGGCTACCGCCTTGAGTTGGGGAAGTTCAGCCAGGGCCTTCTCCTCACAGGTCCGAATGCTGGAGGGAAGACGGTGGTCTTGAAGACGATGGGTACTTCGGGATACTTGGGAACATTTTTCAATTTTTGGGCGCTATAATTCATTCCTAAGAGCAGTAAATCATTAGATTTTTGCTAGGGTTCCAAGTTCAGTTGAGGTCTCCTCGCCTTGCTTGCGAGGTGCGGCATCCCGGTTCCAGCAGGAGAGTCGCCACGCGTTGACTTCTTTGAGGTCGTCCTGGCAGACGTGGGTGACATGCAAACTATTGTGGACGACTTGTCCACCTACTCGGCCCACTTGGTGGCATCACGGATCATGCTGTCCAGCGTCCAGCCGGTCGGACCACGAGCCATGGTACTGGTAGATGAGGCCGGTACAGGAACAGATCCGCAGCAAGGAGCAGCCTTGGCGCGCGCCATGCTAGAGGCATTTCTGGAGTCAGGTGCGCGGGTTGTTGCAACAACTCACTGCGTTCAGCTCAAGAACTGGGCCACGGAGGATGAAAGGACAATGACCGCCGCCATGGAGTACAAGAGCGGGCGACCAACATACCGTCTGTCGACGAATAGTGTCTTGGTCCAACCCAATTGGGCTGGTACCAGTTTTGCCTTTTTGGGGGGGGTTGTGGTTCCTTTGGTAAGAGTGGCCACCACAATAGATACCCCTAAACCCTCAAGAAACCTAAACCCTACTAAACCCTTGTCCGCCAAGGTGTGGGAGAGTCTCATGCCATGGAAACAGCCGAGCGGTTGGGGCTTCCCCCGCAACTTGTATCTCGTGCCGTGGATCTGCTGGCGGAAGATCAGAGAGACTAGGCTTTAGGGTTTAGGGTTTTAAGGTTTAGGGCCCTTCTGTCATATGTTTTCAAGCTGCCCCTTATTGGGCTCAAGAGGGTTGCGGCAAGTTAAGCTGATTAAGATTTTCTTTTAAGGTTTAAAGGGTGCCAACATGGGCCAACTAAACCCTAGACCCTAGACCCTAGACCCTAGACCCTAGACCCTAGACCCTAGACCCTAAACCCTAAACCCTAAACCCTAAACCCCAAACAAACCTAGGAGAGCTCCTGGCACTGCAGCGCAAGGCCGCTGAGGCAGAGAAGGAGTTCGAGGCCGCCCGCGTCGATGCCGAGAAGAGGGAGGCTATGGCCCGCAAGGCAGTCAAGGAAGAAGAAGCAATTAGGGGGTTCATGGGGGTTTAGGGTTTAGGGTTTAGGGTTTAGGGTTTAGGGTTTAGGGTTTAGGGTTTAGGGTTTAGGGTTTAGGGCTTAGGGTTTAGGGTTTAGGGCAAGAAGGCCCTGCTTTCAGGTGTTGCCGGCAGCCTCAGTCCGTGCTTAAAAAGGGTTTTGGGCTAGGGTTTAGGGTTCAAAAGGGGGGGCCCTTGCAAAGGCCATCAATGAGGCGGAGGCAAAGGCCGGGGACATCTCTCGGCGTGAGCGGGAGGTCGCTGAGATGGAGGCCAAGCTGCAGGCCAGGAGTGTGGCATTGCAAAAGCAGCTAGGCATGGCGTTTAGGGGGTTTAGGGTTTGGGGTTTGGGGTTTGGGGTTTAGGGTTTAGGGTTTAGGGTTTAGGGTTTAGGGTTTAGGGCTGCAAAAGGGTTGAGGGGAGGCCCTTGGGACATTTTACATTTCCCCCTTCTTGGGTTTAGGAGGATCATACTCAGGAATATTTTTCAGAGGGCCATCCTAGGCAGATGCAAGCGGAGCTGCAAGCTCAGATCGCTGTCACTTGGCAGCCCAAGTGTTAGCCCTTTTTCTCTCCCTTACACAAAAGTAAGTATAGTAAGCAACCCAAAAAAGGGTACCCCTAAACCCTAAACCCTAGACAGTATGATATGGTTCCTGGGCTGCCAAGGTGAAGGAGAGACAGTTTCAGGATGTCGTTCAGCGCCTGAAGCTTGAGACGCAGAAGCTGGGCTCGCGGTTTCGAATTGTGGGCGATGTGCTTGAGGATCTGAAAGTAGAGGTGGGGATTCACGAAACTGAGGCACCCCGAATATAGACCCTCCCCCAAATAGCAGGATTCCCTTATAAAAAGGGTACCCCAATAAAGTCAGACCCCCCCCCCAAATAGTAGGATTCCCTTATAAACAGAGGACCCCAACAAGGTACCTTAATTTCGGAAACCTCCGAGGTGGACCAAGAAGCAGAGGCGAAATACCAAGCCCAAAGCCACCTGCAGCCCGCAGTTCCCGGTGCCATGGCCGCCCGGGAAATCTTGAACCCAGGAGTCTTCGGGATACCTGGGAATGAAGTTTTTTATTTCTTGGGCACGAAACTTCCTAAAAAAACAGCTAAAATTCTAACCCTAAAACCCTAAACCCCAAACCCTAAACCATTGTTGCAAGGATTCCCAAGTTCAGTTAAAAGGAGACTGGGTGGTGGTCTTAGCGGCCCCTCCATGGCACGGCCTTAAGGGCCAAGTGGAACGAGTTCACCTGGCCAACGGGAAGCCTCCGCGTGTCTCCGTGCGCTTGGGCGCGAATGGCAAGGTCAAGGAGCTCCTTCGTAGCTGACTGAGGTACACTTTATAAGGTTACACTTCTTTGGGGGATACTATGACCCCTTATTGTAGAGCTGCAAGTGTACACTTTTTTTTTTTGGGGGGGGGGGGCTTGTGAGCTCAGCAACTAAGGTTCATGAAGACAGAGCTTGGCAGGACAGCCAAGCCAGAAGGGGCACGCAAGATGCCAAAACCCAAGGGGGAAGCCGCGGCTCCCACACGTGATTACAGCACGCTGGGCTTTTGAGTTTCTCGGCTAGCCACAGAATCCATAGAAGATGTGCACAGAGCATGCGTTCACCACAGGAGTTAGCGGCTCCTGTTTCGCCAAGAAAGGCTTTAATTCTCAGTCTCAGTTTCTCTGCGGCTACCCAAGTAGCCTTGCACCCAGACCAGCCATGTTTTAGGAGCGATTTTCTGCGCAAGGAAATGCGTTTGACCATGATCGGGCCTTGGGCGTGACTATTGCTTAGTTTGGCTACTATTGTTGCAACTGTGACATGCCACTACGGTTGTTATTCGTCCTTCTTCTTATTTTGCTTCTGTCTTATCATTCTTCAAACAGACATCGAAGCACCTGCAAACAAACTTCAGTCGAGCCCGCCTCAGTAGAGGCCACCCCTAAACTCGAAGAGCCTAAACCCTTACCTCCATAAGCCCTAAACCCTAATAAGGCCTAACCCCCCCCCCAAAAAACCCATAAGCCCAATAAGCCCAAGCCCCTATACCCCATAAGACCATAAGACTTAGGAGCCCTAAAAGACCATAAGACTTAGGAGCCCTAAACCCTACAATTACCCCATAAACCCTATAAGCCCTTAAGCCCTAACCCCTATACTTACCCCATAAACCCTATACGCCCTTAAGCCCTAACCCCTATAATTACCCCATAAACCCTATAAGCCCTTAAGCCCTAACCCCTGTAATTGCCCCATAAACCCTATAAGTCCTAAACCCTGCAGGCCCAGCGCCTTGCCGCCTTCGCCGCCTCATTGCTGGCACAGGCCACTGCTCTCAGAGCCTCCTTCGATGATGCCGAGGCCGTTTTGTACTTCGTGTGCCCATGGGTTTTGGGGTTTTTGGGCCGAGGGTTCGCAAGTGTTCAAGGGTGACCATCTTTTAGAGAGAGAGAGAGAGAGAGAGAGAGAGAGAGAGAGAGAGAGGGGGAGGGAGGGAGGGAGGGAGGGAGGGAGAGAAAGAGAGGGAGGGAGCAGAGAGGGGTCACGTGTCTGGGGAAGAAGGGGGCAGGGGAAGACGCACCACACTCACAAACCCCTGTCCTTCTCCGTGGCAACTGAGTCTCCCCGAATACCGGGGCACGCGCACAGCCAGGGGGCTTGCCCCCACGCCCCCTATAAGAAGGAAAGAGGGAGGGAGGGAGGGAAGGAGAGAAGGCTGTTGGGGTCCATAGTGTTGGGTTTTGGGTCTTTGGGCTGCGAGGTGGCCGTGCTTTCGGCATTCTTGGTGTCGCCGAGCAATAATTGTGCAGATGCCTTAGCGTAGTTTATATAATGGCATTTCCCAAACGAAGCGTATACCCCTAATGTACCCCAGATACTCTAATTCCCAAACAAAGTACCCCTTATGTTTCGGAAACCCCCATAACAGCAGGGGGGTGTAGATGGGTTTACGGTCCAGGGTCTGCACGTCAACCAAGTATGGCTGGATGTCCTGGTAGTTCTTTGGAGGGAACGGGAACGAGACAGGGTTAGAAAGGGTTCAGGCTGATTATCGTTCCGAAGGTCTTGAGAAAGTGTGGGGGAAGGGGGGGGCGGGGGACTGTTTGAGAGTGAGAGTCGATGAACTCTGGCCTTAGACCAGGCCTGGATCCTCACAGCCGGCTGTAAAAAAGAAGGGAAGTTCACGGGGAATAAGGCTCGGCAAAAGCTGGACGTGCGCCTGTGGGACCCTGACATCCTTCTGGAGCCCCTCAACCTTAAACCCTAAACCCCTAAACCCTAAAACCCCTAAAACCCCCAAAACCCCTAAAACCCCCAAAACCCTAAAACCCCTAAACCCCAAACCCTAAACCCCTACACCCTAAACCCTAAACCCCTGGCATCGTAGCCTTGGCAGGCGCAGCTGCTGGCACATGCCTCTTCCGCCTCAGGGAAGGACGGAAGCTTCGAGTGCCTGTGACAGCACGTGCCCAAAGGTCCAGCAATAAAGTTGGGTATATTATTATTATTATTATTTGTATTAATACTATTAGTATTATTATGACTATTATTATTAGTATTCTTATTCTTATTCTTAGTCTCATTCGTAGTCTTATTCGTATTCTTATGTTTATTCTTATTCTTAGTAAAACGGTGACCGTAGCATGATTATTTTATTCTACAGCAATATAAGCGGGGCAACTACAGGGAGTTGGGACCTGATGGCAAGGGGTTTGCAACCGAAAGCCAAAGCCCCAAAGCCCCAAGATCGGTTCAGGGTGTGAATTTGGCTTAGGGTTTAGGGTTTAGGGTTTAAGGGTTTAAGGGTTTAAGGGTTTAGGGTTTAGGGTTCAGGGTTTAGGGTTTAGGGGTTCAGGGTGTGAATTTGGCATGCTGGTCCAAGCATGCATCGTGTGCCTCGCTTTTGACTGTCTTTAGCACCCTTTAGGGTTTAGGGTTCAGGGTTCAGGGTTTAGGGTTTAGGCACCCGAAACCCTAAAACCATTCAACCCTTTAGGAGGATTTCGGCCCTGAGGTCCGACTTCAAAAGGCTGGGTGCCATGATGCCGCGTACGGTCTACGAGGCAGCCTCAAGCGGAAAGTGTGTGTGTGTGTGTGTGCGGATCCCAAGCAGCATGTCAGTGCAAAGCGCCTTTGAAAATTCCAACTCCCGCAAGCTATCGCAAGCTTAAGAAGCGCAAAAAAAATCAAACACAAAAATGAACAAATTGAAAAAAGCACGACTTACCTCCAAACAGTCCTGCGGCCCTGAACCTTGAACCCCACGCCCCCCTCAACCAAAACCACCGAGCCAGTCTTGCCAGGCCAGGCAGCCTTCAGCGGACTTGGAGGAGCTTTGGGCGGAGTCTCGCGCTTAGGATGCCTCCATAGGGGTCTATAAGCGAAAGAGTAGAAAAAAAACACGAGTTCTGATTGCAGATAAGGCTTCCCGTGTAGATGCTTCATAAGATAGAATCCCATATAACAGGGCCTGGTAATTTCGGCTCGAACTGGAAGGGCCTTTGAGGGGATCCCTTGCGGGAAGTAACAACCAACCCACTTAGGCATTGAAAAGCTTAGAGTGAGCAAGCTTTGCCCAAAGTGAAGCACTGAGGCCACGAGAACGCCATGACCAGGACGGTCTGCAGGACGTGGACAAGTGTCTCGGACAAGCCGTCGCCATCATGACATAGCCTTTGGCCTTCGGGATTAGGCATGTTCGGCCAGCACTGAGTATAGATATGAGATGCTTTCAGCATGTTTCAACGATGTTGGGATGCTGGCAATTCCCGGGTTATAGGAGGTGAAAGGATGGCTGTGACCTCAGCCTCGAACATAGATTGCTGCAGCCAGGCTCTGCCGCGTACCGGGCATTGGCCGGCGACTGTCTGAGGCGCTGCTGCGAAGGTTTGGGAACTGCCAGGCGGGGTTACCGAGCACGCAGTACACGCGCGAATCTCCGTGCGCCTCCACAATTTCTTGCCAAGGGGGCTTCCCTCACACTGCTCGGTCCCCTCTCCTGAGCCGCAGGCTGTGCTGGAAGCCGCGGCGACCGACGGCTCGAAGTTGCTGGCGCTGCCAGGAATAGGCTCCACGGTGGTCAATGTATGCTCAACGATTGGTCAGCATGTTGAGTGCGAAGGGTGTGTTTTGAACAAGTTTGTCGGCTCGATTGTATCTATATCTACCTGCGTCGACCTACTTGGCAGCCCTACACCTAAACCATGGCCTTCAGAACTGGGCTGAGCCACCACATTGGACTCACAACACTGAAGTTACACCTCTGCACGCTAGACTCGCTAGACCCCGCAACCCAAAACTACGCACGGGTGATACTCCAGCGAAACCAAGTTTGAAGCTGCTGACGGCCAGAGACATGGTGCCGCCAATGTTCTGGGCAATTCTGCATGTTCTTGCGTGCGCACACGAGGTGGAGCAGAAGCACGAAGCATACGAAGAAAGCCATGCCTCGGTGATCAAATCGCAGCTGCTGCGCTGGGCTGCCACCTGGGAGGAGTCTGCTGAAGCCCGCGATGTGGTGCTTCAACATATCCGGGAACAGATGGCCGCTGTCAGTTTCGATGTCGCAAGCACCTACGCCAGCTGGGCTGCAGAGCTTCCCAACTCAGCTGGAAACTATGCAGTAGCTGCTGCAGTGTCTGAGTCAGTCGCATTTCTACCGGACTGCATTGCGGAGCTCAAAACAAAGAGCGAGCTACAGACCCGATGCCCCCAGAAGATGCTGAAGATTGCCATCCAGAAGCTCTTCAGCATGGACGATGCGGAGGGCGCTACACGAGTCTGGATGCTCGCCCGAAGGCTGTATCGTGGGTCAACTCGCATGTTTCCTGAGATGCTTCCGGAGGAAGAGGCCGCAATTCCTTGGCCCTCTGCCGTGCAATCATCAACAGTTTGGGTTCGAGGATTGCGTGAAAAGCCTTTCTGGGACTGCTACCAGGCGTGGCCATTTGTCCGCACATTGGAGGCCCATGCTGCCCGCATTCTCAGCGAAGCCACAGACGTGGCACCAAAGTTGACACGAGCATACCCATACCTCTTCACGCAAGGTTCCTGGCAAAACCTGTTTCTTTTCAGAGGCCGCACTTGGAATGCAGACATTTGCCACATCATGCCTCGCACTTGCCAGCTTCTGATGCCCGAAATCCCCACAAAACCTGGTTTGCCTACAGTCGTCCCCAATAATGAAGAGATTGTGCTCTTCCGGTCGATGGACGGTGCCTATGTGGGGCCCCACAGCGGCGCAGTGAATAATCAAATCAATATCCACCTGACCTTGAAGGGATCACGTGGAGCTTTCTTGAACGTGGCGGGGGATCGTCACGAGCTGAAGCCAGGAAAGGCGATGTGCTTTCAAGACAGCTATCTGCACAGCCTGGAGCACAAATGCGACAAGAACTCGGACGACTGCAACGAGCGGCTCTCACTCGTGGTGCGCGTGCTCCATCCAGACTTTGACGCCCACAGCGTCCATGGGTATGCGGCCACGGAGGCGGAGGGGGCATTGGAGGCCTTCAGCGAGAGCGCCGCCCTAAGGGCGGAGCTCTCCCGGCTGCGTGAGCAGTACCGCAAGCTATCGGACAGGCCGGAAGAGCCAGGAGAGGAGTCCTGCAAAGCCCCCCTGCCAACAGATGCTGATTTGCAGAATGCCCATGAGGTCTTTGCTTTCTTGAGCCAGGAATTCCATGGTTGGGCGCCTTCTGAGGAGCCCATCGACGCGATAGTTGTACTTTCCAACTGGTACGACCGCATGTCCAAGGTTCGAAAAGTACTGGAGACTATATCCCCCTTGGGAATTTTTTCTTTTTGTTCATACAAAAATCCAAGAGGATATCAAACAAAAAAACATGTTCATTAAGGTTCTAAGGGGAGTATAGGAGATAGCTGCCAGCGCGCGCAACGTGCCGATTGTGGTGGTGGGGGGCCGTGGCCGACTGAGCTCGATCCGTGCTGCCGAGCTGGATGGGGAAGCCCATGCTACCTTGGCAAGGCTGCTTGTATTGTTAGAGGTGCCAGGCGAGCTGGGTACTTTAGGAACAAACAGAGTGGTCGCGATCAGCTGCAATGAGTGCCCCACGCCAGAGCTTCGAGCCAAGTGCGGCTGTGTCGGCAACACTGGCTTCAACGCAGACCGGTTCTTGGAGTGGGCTGCTACATTCTTGCCACCACTGCCACACAGACCTCGGCGAGTCGTCATCGTGGAGGAGTCATATCTCGTGCGCCGGGTGACAGCCACTGTTTTGGGGCGTCTTTCTGGTATGACCTCGCCAAGACATGTACACAACCATTCGACAATGCAGGTCAGTATCGTGAATGCAAGGGAAGTAAGTGATGCCCTGGATCAGCTTCTCCAGGTGCATGAACCAATGCCCAGCGCCATGATGCAGTTGATGGCAGACGAGGTTGCGAGATTGGAAAACTATTCGAGTCAAACTGCTGGTTCGCCACAGCTGTTCTCGGAAGTCATGTTCCTCGGAGACGTCCAGGCAGTGACATCCGAAACTCAGGCAACCATCGCAGAAGGGCCCTATGCGGCATTTCGGCGTGTGCGGCGGTTGGGAAAGGAGCTTTCTGCAAGATATGCCGCACCCATGGAGAAAGTCGCCCGGGACAGGCGGCTTTTCTGGAAATGTGTGGCTCCAAGGGACTCGGAGGGCGTGGCTACTTGGACGGTGCCTGAAGCACCGGGTGAGGCATGGAGATTCTGGCGAAAACCCAACGATGGCGAGTCCTGAGTTCGCTGAGAACTCGTGAAAAAGGAGGGGGGGGGGGGCGGGGGGTTCGGGATGAATGCCTCCACTCTGCGTGAGCTGATTGGCCTTCGTGAGCTATGGGCCGGGTGGCTACTAGTAATGGGTGTAACACGCAGTTGCCGTTTGATTGTAAGACGCAGGCCGTGTGGACATCCATCGGTTGCAACTTAATAGCTTACGCTCGTTCACGCGTGTCGTGTGTTGAGTCGAACGCCGATCTACTTTGAGCATATGCGCATGAGGGCATGTATTGTTTCTTCGTGGATCCAGGCTGGCTACTCTTCTTGGCAAGTTGATCTATCTTCTCGGTTTCGTTTGGGGATGTCATCTGGTTAGCATCTGTGTAGTGAGGGTTGTTGCGTGTGTTTTGCCACCCATCTGAGTATAGCGCGCTGAAGGACGGCAAACCCTCAAACCCTCAAACCCTCAAACCCTCAAACCCTCAAACCCTCAAACCCTAAACCCCGACTGTTCCCTGCGGAGTGATCCCAGAGGGGGTCTGCTAGGCGGGTGGCAAAAAAAACCCTAAACCCTAAACTGAAGTGAGTCCGAAACCCTGATACCCAGGCAGTCGGCGGCTGCAGCAGCTTGGGGCAGCTGCAAAAAGGCCGTCGATCGACACGGGCATTCCCAAAATGGGGGCTCCCTTGATACGCAGTTTAGGGTTTAGGGTTTAGGGTGTTGTTTTTCCGAAATTAGGGCCCCTCTTTATGAGGGGATCCTACTATGTAAAGAAGGATTCCCCTATTCTCGTAAACCCCAAAATGGGCCCTTGGATATACCCCCCAATTATGCCATAATCCTCAGTCTAGGAGCTCCCAAAAGGGGCACCCCTATTTGGGAATTGCCCACATGCTTTGGTGGAGTGTTTTGAGCCTTTTGATAGCAAGATTCCGAATTTAGGAAGAAAGGCCCCATGGGATTTAGGAAGCTGAACCCGAAAAATCCCTAAACCCTAAACCCTAAGCCCTAAACCCTAAACCTAAGCCCTGAACCCTAGTCCCTAAAACCCAAAAAGGGGCCTCGGGATGCGCAGGCTCGGCTTGCCAGCACGGAGTGATGGCAAAGCAAAGAGCTGTGCTCCTTGCGCGGTTGGAAAAAAAGAAGTTCAGGGTTCAGGGATTAGGGTTTAGGGTTTAGGGTTTTAGGGTTTAGGGTTTAGGGTTTAGGGTTCAGGGTTCAGGGTTCAGGGTTCAGGGTTTAGGGTTTAGGGACAGTATCCTTTCCTGGCAGTTGTCCGCAGTCCAGTCGCAAAAGGGGCCTTGAGGGTTCTCGTCCGAAGCTGTCGACTATGGGGAATGTTCCCGGCTTTTTGCAGCAGAGCTTTCGATTGCAAGCCTGTCCGACACTTGATGGTCAATTCTGCCATCGGGACATCCAGAGAGCCATCCTACTCACATGGCTTGTGTCGCCTGAGGTTCGCCGAGCCAGCGATGCCTGCAACGAAAGCTATGTGCTGTAAAATGTGGGGTGGCAACCCGGGCACAGGCTTGGGGTGGATATCCCTGAACCCTAAACCCCGTGGCACAGGGAATGCTTTGCGATTCAGAAAGAGAGACTGAGAATAGCATAGCTGGCCCCCTTTCACTGCCCTGAATCAAGGGTTCCAAGTATGGGCCGTCAATTTGGGTCCCTTGTTACATAACCCTTATTTACACAATATATATATATATATACATATATATATATATATACGTACACATATGTTCAGGGCCCATACTTCGCACCTAGAAAAGAAGGGTAAGTGACCAACAGCAATGGCCTATGGTTCCAACCTTGGACTGAAATGCGACAACATCCTGACCCTGTTACACATCCATTTTTTGAAGCAACACTCTGCTGCCCGAAATCCTGACAAAAAAAAATCCCCCCCTTTTTTTTGAGCCTCCCCCTTTTTGAATCTTCTGGATGCCCGGCACATGTACCCCCCCCATGTTGTAACTGGCCGCCTTGTGCTCGAAGCCTGGGAGCATCCTTTGGGCGCAGTGAAAACCCCACAGCTGCGCTAAGAAGCTCCTGAGTAGCTGAGTGAGTACACTTTGCACTTTTTGGGATACTCTAATCCCCTATAGAACTGAAAGTGTGGTTTAGGGTTTAGGGTTTAGGGTTTAGGGTTGCAACTAAGGCTCCATGTTCCAATGCCACCTCCATGTGCCGGAATGAAATTGGTGCTGGCATGTGTGGCCTTCCACCGTTGCTTGGCTGTTATTGGCTTCCCTAAACCCTAAACCCTAAACCCTAAACCCTAAACCCTAAACCCTAAACCCTAAACCCTAAACCCTAAACCCTGCCATGCTTATGGCAATCATGGACTTTGAAGTCTTGACAGCTGCAGTGACCTCATCTGACATTTGCCGAGGTGTGGTGAGCTTTGCGGACGTAGAAGAGTCCCCCGGCTGCGCGTTGGTTCAACGCAAGGCGACGCAGTTGCTGCAGCAGGAATATAGGGTTTAGGGTTTAGGGTTTAGGGTACCCTTTTTGGGGATGTTTCACCGGGGTCCCTATCTTGGGAAATACCCATATTGCTTAGGATAGTTCCCTCTTGTACTAACAGTCCTTATTAGGGAATATAGTAGGGGAGAACATTTTTTTTGGGTGTTTTTTGTTTTTTTGGGTATTTTTTTTGTTTTGCTTGTTTTTGTTCCTTTCTCCTTGTTTCTGCCTATGCTTTTCGCTTTCTGCTTTTCGCTTCGCTTTTGTATTTGCTTTTGCTTCGTTTTTTGCTTGTCGTTTTTTTGCCTGTCTGAATTGCTTGTCGCTTTTTGCTTTTGCTTTTCCTGTTGCTTTTTCTTTTGGTTTTGCTCTTGCTTGTGCTTCTGCTTTTGCTTTTGCTTTTTCTCTTAGCTCCTTTTTGTTTCAGGTCATTTTTTGGCTTTCTGCTTTTGACGGTTGCTTTTGCTTTTCATGTTTGTGTCTAGTGTATACATGTAGTATATGTGCATATCGTATATATATATATATAGACTATATACATATATATATATATAGTGTTATATATATATGTAGTATATCTAGTGTAGTTTTTTGGTTCATACGTTATATATATATAGTATATATAGTAGAGTATACATGAGATATGTATGATACATTTTATACATATATATATATATATATATAGTGCACATACTATAGGTTATACAACGTGTATATGGATATATATATATATATGTATAGTGTATATAGCATGCATTTTCACACACGATATAAAAATATTCTATGGTATATATGGTGTGCATCATAGTATATAGAGTATATAATATATATTATACTAGTATATATAGTATATATATATACAGATTATATAGAAGTATTATCAACTAATATATTGTATATATTCAGTATAATTAGTAGGGGCAATATTATAGTAAAAAACGTATGTGTATATATATTATAGTTTGGAAAAAAAGTATAGGTTTGCATATATCGTATATTGGTATAATATAATATATATATATATATAGATATAATATATAACCTTATATATATATATATATATATATCATATACATACAGTATATACATAGCATATATATATATATATAGCAAATATATAGTGTATATATATATATAGAGTATATATAGAATATATATATATATATATATATATATAGAATATAAATATATATATATATGTATATATATATATATAGTGTATATAGTATAGAAAGCCAAGATTCTTTGATATATGTGTTTGACGGTATGTACAGTATGGAAAAGTTTGTTTTCTTTTGGTCTTTTATGATATAATATACATTAAGATACATGCTAGGCTGCGCCCTCCCTGCAAAGCGTGCTTCAAGGCATATGAATCTTGTTGAAACCCATCGTGTGAGCATTGTGGTTGCAAATGGGGGGGGCTGCGCCCCCCCCCAACCCCCCCGCTTCTTGTAAGCCGCGCAAAGCGGCTTCAGAGCCTATGAATCTGGTTGAAACCCATCATGTCAACATTGTGTTTGCAAACGGGGGGGTTGCCCCCCTCCCCCTCCCCCTAACCCCCAACCCGCTTTATTTAAGCCGTGCAAAGCGTGCTTCAAAGCCCATGAATTTTGTTGAAACCCATCTTTAGATAATAAGAAATCCCACGAAAAGTTATATGAATCCTATGAAAATATAGAGGGGATGTAGCTTCTTCCTAGGAAAAACCAAGAAAACAAGCCAAGCAAAGAAGTAATAAGTAGTATGAATCCTATGAGAATTTGGGCTTTCTCACGAAAACCAGGAAAACGAACCAAACAAACAGGATAAGTAAGAAATCCCACGAAAAGTAGTATGAATCCTATTAAAATCACGAGGGAATGTAGTTTTGTCCTAGGGAAAACCACGAAAACGAACCAAAAACAAAGAAATCCTACGAATAATACTCCTACTACTACTACTACGACGATGACTACTACTACTACGACGACAACTACTACTACTACTACTACTACTACTACTACTACTACTACTACTACTACTACTACTACTACTACTACTACTACTACTACTACTACTACTTTTACTAGTATTGAGTACAGAACAAAAAAAAAAAAAAACACAAAAAAAAAAAAAAACACAAAATTCCTAAATTAATTCCGGACCCATATAGTAGGGAGGAACTATCATCCCTATTCAGGACTGTTAGTATAAGGGGAACGTCCCAGCCCTAAAGCCAAAACCCTAAACCCTAAACCCTACTCTGGGTTGTGAGAGTCGAAACCCTACTCTGGGTAATGCCCATGTTGCCCTTGTTTGATGATGCATGTCCTCTGCTTCCCGGCAAAAGCCATGGTGCGCAGGCGGAGCCCTTGCCTCCCCGATCTCCACCTGCTGATGCCGAGCCTGTCATTTTGACGAGGCTGGCCAGGTTGTTTTGGGTTTAGGGTTTGGGGTTTGGGGTTTAGGGTTTCGGGGTACCATGACCCCCTAGTTGCACGCATCGTTGTGTGGTGGAGGTTGCGGGCTGAAGGGCCTGCATGGCGGAGCAAGCGTTGGCTTCACCGAGTTCTTGCTTTAGCTGATGTCATTGTAAGCATCTATTGGAGGCGGTATGGTTGGAGTAGAGTAGATTCAAGATGGCGCCATTTCGTGCCAGCGCCAGCCGGCTGCTGTTTCCGGAAGGCATCCTAGAACATCGCTAAATGATTAGGATACCGGGCTGCATCCCCTCGGCTCCCATGCGGCAGGTTAGAGAGCAACGTGGAGCAGGCTGGTCGTGCAGCTGACGCTGTCTCCGCGGACGCGATGTCGCTGGTAGACGAGCTCTCAAAGCTGCACGCATCGTTGAAGCGGACCCACGTGACGGAAGCGGTGTCACCGCCACTGCAAGCGGGCTTACTGGAAACCTTGGAGGCCGCACATGCCATGCTAACATTGCCTGTGCGTGAACCGACCCAGGGGTCAGATTCAATGCTGGCGACAGATGAGTCGACAGATGAGTCGGACACTTCTATCCATACAACGAGCGTGAAGTTCCAACAGTTGACTGAGCCTACTGAACAGTCTAGCAAGACAAAGACGTGGAGGGACGTGGCCAGCAAGGTGTTGTGTTTTGGTGGGTTGCTTCAGGCAAAGACCGGTGTTCTTGTTTGGGCGGGCACGTCAGTCTTCCTGGCGCTTACGTTGCTCGTTGTCTCCGCCAGATCATTCTTCACAAGTGGAGGCGAGCCAGAGGTGAACGAATCATTGGTGGATACGCTGAGACTTGACAGACTCGATATGACTCGACAAAACTAAGCTCTGACGCCTCGTGAGAGGAAGATGTGTCACGGACTGTGCTTGGACAAAAGCTGCATAGGGTTCTTGCCGACTCGACATTCTGCAAGGGCTTTGCCAGTCCTTTTCATCAGCCTGGACTCGTTTTCGATGATTGTTTATGGTATGAAGGTGGCTGTCCCCCTATCGTATGTGACATAGACTCAAGAAAACAAAACAATATGTCAAGAAACGTTTGCCAGCAACAACTTGAAAAACACTTCTTTCATCATCGAACTATGCGTGTGCGAAAACATGTGTCGCCATATCTATGCAGCGAATATGAAATTTTTGTAATCCACAATGATTTTGTTTTGGGGGGGGGTACGTGTTCTTGTAGCCCCAACAATATTCAATTCAAAAAATTCAGTGCAAAAGGGGCTTGCAAATTTGTGTTTTTTTGGTATCCTTTGAGTGTGGGTTGGTTTTCTGATGAACGAAGGAAAAATAAAAAAATCATGAATTTTATCTCTGGAATTATTAACTTCCAACGATCCTTAATGATAATTACGAATGTATAATGATTCTTAATGATGATTATGGGGCAATGCCAATTATGGATATTTTTTTATTACCTTAATAATATGGTATTTTTTATTATTTGATTCCCTAATTCTTATGGATTATTTTAATTCTGGAAAATGGAATGAAGGTATTATGAATCTTATTATTGGAATTATTAATTG